GTTATGTAATTACATGGGGGAGGGGGAGTCACGACATGCTTGCAAGTAACGTAATTAGCACCATGTACTGTTAGGCTGTCATTCTCGAGGTTATGTGGATGACCCCGCTCAGCAAACCAAATTATTTGAAAGCTCAAGTGTGAGGCTTCACATGCGCTTAATTCAGTAGCTTCCATGCAAGATTAACGAGATATTAAGCATTACATTGCCAGATTAATATAATTAATGTGCATCGAGTTACACAAAGATTTGTTGGGGGGGGGAACATTCTGTCTGATACTTATGATCACATATTTCAACTCTCGGATAGTGAAAACTTAATTAATAGCTATAATTAATATAAAGAATTAATATGAATATTTTTTGATATTTAATATCTTGAAGCCTGACAAGATTTTCTTTTTGAAATCAACATATGGTTTTCTTCTGACTAATGTATGTGGAATAAATGTTTTGATTCATATATATTAACCTATGCTCATTATGTTGAAAAGCCATTGCTTATTTCTGAAATTTGATTCAGTGAGAACAGTTAAATCAGGACCACCCAGCAGAGATATCCACAGTTTGTGAAGAGAGGACGCATAGGAGCTGAGGAAAAAATAAAGCAGATATTCTTAAACATTATTCCTTCTTTCAACCCAGTAAGATTATTAGCTACCCAGAATGTAACTTTTCACTGATTATTATGAGATCATATGTTATTGACCATCTCTGTTCACCCTAGCTGGGAACTAATGTTATCATAGCTGGTCCTCCCTTTTCATTTGCAAAACAATCCTGAGAGACCAGATTAGATGATCTTCCCCAAGATCATCCTCTGAGCATTCCCAGTGAGTGGGGATTTGCACCAGGATGTTGCTGGGCTAGGTGTGTTATTTCCATCACATTTCTCTCATATGGTCATTGTGTTTGAGCTGTGTGTGGCTCTTTGAAAGCTACTAAGCCATTGCAGAATATAATGATTTTACTATTAATATGAGAAGAGAATATATCATATAAGATTCTAGAGAAAGCCTGCAATGGACCATAATAATTAATTGGGTACTCAGTTATGCTTGCCATACTTTAAATCTTCCTTACTGAAGTCCAGTCTAGTCCATCATTCCCACTGGGGCCTACTACATCCCTACTAGAAGCCAACAAGTAGAACCTGCTTGAGGGCAATACAGTGGGGTCTTGACTTGAGAACTTAATCCGTATTGGAAGGCGGTTCTCAAGTCAAAAAGTTCTCAGGTCAAATCTGCATTTCCCATAGGAATGCATTGAAAACCATTTGATCCGTATCTGCTCTTTTCCGTCCATAGAAACTAATGGGAAGCTGCTATTCTGCCTTCGACCACTAGAGGGGGATATTTTGTTTCTTTTTTTTCTTAGGTCAAGAAAGGTTCAAGGAAGGCAGGGAAAATACAGTCAAGGCAGTACCATGCAGTCCGAAGACTGTCTCCCAATCCACTCTCTAAACGCTGGGAGGAGTGAGGAAGCAGACAGGCACCCTTTTCACTGGCCAACAGTTAACTGGAAGTTCAAATTTTGCACTTTCCCTGCCTCCCACATGGTTTTTTTTTCAGTTTGTAACTCAAATCTAAGTATGTAAGTCAAGTCAATATTTTCCTATGAGAGTGGTTCTTAAGTCAAAATGTTCTTAACTCGAGCCGTTCTTAAGTCAAGCCCCCACTGTAATAAATTGCAACCTCACGCTTACTCACCAAGCCATATTTGGAGGCATATTACTGTACTTCTGATGCTAGGGAGAGCATCTAGTCAGCATATATTTGATTTCCAGTACCACAGTATCAGGAAGACACAAGTTAGGTTGAAGTACTTCACCTTAGTGTTGAGGTGGTGAGACATGTGGCAGCTGTGTGTGTTTGCAGTGTGTCATTCTGCTTTCTCAGATCATATTTACATAAATGGGATTAACCAATCCCCCATACTCTCTCAGGCACTGAGCTCATATACTATGCTGAATACTATTAGTTCACAATAACCTTGTATGGATTTCAAAGTTACGTCACCAAAACATTTGATCATTTGACATGTTTTATATATATACACCATTCTGCTGCTGCTGTTACTCCCAAGTCACTCACTGTAGAGCGAAGACCTGTGTTGCTTTTTATGGTAGAGTCAAGACAGGAGAATGGACTTCTTTCAAGCAGTGCTGCAGAAGACATGGTCCTAATTTGCTCTTAGTAACATAGACCTTTGTCTTCAATAAAAATAAAACAACAGTCTCACAAGCTACTAAGTATTTTTCACAGCAGCTCACCCTAACTTTACTGTGAGAAGTAAAACACTACTTGTTGCATAAAAAAGTAATGACTTTGCCTGTTATGTTACTTAGACCTTGTGACTCTCCCCACAAAGTAACTGACTACAAGCAATGTCATTATTTGTAATATATTACCTGTAAGCTCTGAAGAGGAGGAGGAGAACAACATGGCTTCATTGTGATGGTTTAATTGCCCTTTTCCCAAATACTGTATGCACCCAGGCTCAGCTCCTTATCACTGTTAATTATTATTCTGAAGTTCTAAATAGCTTGGATCACCCATACTAAAGGCAGCTGTTGTCTTCTCCCATAGGCACCCAGCCACTAAAATCAACATAAGCATCTCTGCTCTGTGGCTCAGCTTTGAAAACTGTCAATCACTGAGGCTTAGATGGGATGTGAAGAAATCACATAAAATTTCTAAACATCCCCCCCCCTCACCTTGCAAAGCAGAAAATACATAAGCAGAGCAAGAACAAATGTCTGGCTGATTAATGAAAACAGACAGGAGCAACCCATAGGATGTTTCAGATTTTTTCCAAGTCCAGGAAACAAGGAAACAGATGCTGCAATCATACTTCCAGAATTGTACAAAGGTCATTCACACAAATGCAAGAACTCTTGACAAAGAATATCTTGCCACCTCACAGGTGAGGAAAAATATCTTACAGTTCATGTGTTTTGTTCTCACACCTCTGCCTAGGAACCTAATGAGCTGCTGCCAAGCAGAGCAAATACTCGTGGACTGTATGGAGATATATTCTGACATACCACAAGGCAACTTCTTACGCATCCATAAGAACACAGTGATACCCACTATAAGGCAGAGACTAATAGTGGTGACGAATCAACATGGCAGAACAGTTAAGTTTGCACATTTGCTTATGAGGGGGGGAAACTATACATAACATCCACATTCTGTACACTAAAAAGGGAATATCTAGATTTTAACCTGCTTCCCTTGAGAATTTTCTCTGGGCAGAACTTATAAAGGGTATTTTGCATGAATGTGTAATAACAATAGTAACAATGGTTATATATGAGTATACACAGTAGATACCTATTGTAGTGCTGTAACTAAGAGCATAAGCCAGACAGACTTTGGTATACTTCCCATCCCAGCCACACGGTCACAAGGATCTCTAACTTCAACTACTTTTTTTCTTTTTTTCCATATCCTAATACCCTTGTTTCTCAGAGGCAGGAAAATATTTTAGTCTTCCTTATAGGACAGTTGAAAAGATGACAAAAGTCACATATGTGAAGCATTCTGAACACCTGACATGGCTTATATAAATGTTACATATTCTCATTCATATTATTTTTGTTTTTGGTAATGCCATAGTGTTCCTGCTTTTTAATGAACACTGCAAAAGCACTCACAGAAAAGTATGTCATATTATGGAACATATATTCTATTTGTATACTGACCTTACAGAGTGGATTTCCTCAGCATATGACAGTTTGTTACACAGCACCCCTCTCTCTCTCTCTCTCTCTCTCTCTCTCTCTCTCGCTCTCTCTCGCTCTCTCTCTCTCTCTCTCTCTCTCTCACACACACACACACACACACACACACACACACACACGCACACTCGCACCCATCCCTTGTGAAGGACTGGATTTTAAAGGCAATAGAAAGGTGAATTTGGAGCTGCTGTTCTATAGGCACGTGGCCACATTTTGACACATTATTCTAAGCTATGTGTCACTTAAGTCAGTCCATGATTCTATGAACTTTTAAAGCAACCAAGACTGAGAAGTCTGGAATAAGCCCATTGTGGAATTTGCCATTCCTGCCACGATCACGCTGGCTGCCCAAGAGCAGTTTCAGATGTGAGCATCTGAAGTCTCTCACTCAAAAGATTGCTAATCTTTCAAGACATGCCGGCTGCTGTCACCTGCCTTGCCCCCTTCTCGGATAAAACATCTCCAACCGTCAGCTTTCCTTCTCCCTCTTAGCACACTGCCAAGCTGCGTTTGTTCTGTCTGTTCCCGACCTTTTAATCAAAATGACTATTCACGTCACATTTTATTACTGCTGACAACTATAGATTTCATTTCCCCAATTGCACCCAAAGCAATTTCCACCCCTTACTTCCATTTGAAATTCAGCTGCTAATCTTGCACAAGGAAACCATGTCAGAAGATACTGTATGTTTATTCCCCCCAGACAACAACAACAACAATAAATATGCATATCTTGGATAGAAGTCAGCTGTTCTTTCCTGTGCTGGAATGCTAAACAAATATCCCCCACATGCAGCTGAATCACCTCTGCCTGCCTCGGTTGCAAGACTCTGAAAGGCTCTGACAGTGAGATTCTACTAAGCTAGCTGGTACTGTCTAATGAAAAATAATTCTGATGACGATTTGTCATTTACAGGTCACACAGCTTTGCCTGTACACGCACACAAACACACCTCCCAAGATGGTTTAAGCAGTTTAGCAAGATGTGGAAGAGTTCAAATGGGATCCAGCATCTTCTCCAGGAGTTTCCCCTTAGACCGGTGATAACAAGCAAACATGCTCCTGAGACAATTGTTCTATTCTGGGATGCTTCCCTCTAAACTAAGCCCTTTTCTCCTCCTCCCCTGCTCCTTTTCTCCTCCTGACACCACAAACTGTCTGAGCTGCTGCAGTGCAGAATGTCAGTTTACTCATTGGGAACTTTCAATGCAGAACATTCAGAGTGATGCAGTCAACCAGATAACGCAGCACTTACCCTAATTGAAAAAATCCTCTCTTTGGACAAAGGCAAACCGAAGGAAGCGCCGTGCTCCAAAATGAGCTGGTTTATTGGGAGGGCAAAGCTAAGTTTTCAGTCAGCACCCTCCAAGTAGAGAGGCATCCTGGGCTCTGCCTTTTGCTGTTGACGTTGAACTCCTCACTGTCTAGAAAAAGGAGAGAGAGAGAGAGAGAAGGAAAGATAAGCTGGAATCCTCGGGAGGGACCTGAGTAAGTGAAAGAGTACAAAAGCTCTGTTGCTTAAAGGGGAGGGATGTTTAACAAAACGTGCTCAGGTCTGAATGATCCAGTAGCTGCTGGTGCTGCTGAGGCTGCTCCTCCTGCTGCTGCCGCCGCCGTGATAGGTCTCTGTCCTGTCCCCTGAGCCGTGGGATGATTGTTGACCTGATTAATACCAGGCACTCTCTCTACATAGAGAGAAAGCATCGGGAGGATTGGTGGGTCGCCAGGGAGTCGCGGACGGCACTGGGGCCACTTGGGAATGTCATCTCCTTCCAGATTAATAGATGTGATGCTGCAGCTGAGTTGTAATTTTGCAAGGTGGGCTACACACAGGGTAAAACCATCCGGCAATTGCAAAATGAACATACATTCCTGCAGTGCTGCCTTCCCCCCCCCCAAAAAAAAATCAAGGTGCCTCAGCATTCTGAACAGGTTATGGCTGATTAATTAAAACAGACAGATGTAGCTTCTTAGATTATGTGACGCTCACCGTATGCAAAGCTTTGGGAGCCAGGGGGACATTGAATGCTCTCTTTTAAGCATGGAGACGGACATGCAGGTTCCAGTCCGATAGAAACAGTGATGGGCAAATCTCCCAGACAGATGTTAAGTACTGTTGGGTGGGAGGGAAGGAAGTTCTGCAAGGTGCATTTGGCAGCAGGGACATGCCATTAAACTTGCAAAGTTTTTGTTTTTGCTCCCTGCCCCGGCCCAGGAGAGAAGTGCTCCCTTGAAACACAGTTATCAAGTCAGTGGCAAACAAATGAGATGTGCAGTTGGGCTCACTGAATCATTTTATAACAGGTAGCAACCCCGGCAGCTCCGTCATGTCATTGGCCAGCCAATGAAGGGATCGAGTGAGTATTATTCAAGATTCTAAAGGATTAATTTATTAGGACAGTTGTCTGTCTGCGGAATAAGTGTTTGGTTTTCCTACAAAATAGTGCTCAGATACACATTATAAACGGGCCATGGAGTAAGGCTATTAAAAATTTCACTAGGGCTGCACTGTTGCTCGTGAAAATCAGGAGTGGTTGCTGGTTTTGCTGCTTTGCTGCTCATGAAAAAAATAATGAGAAATTTAATGGCTATGAGGTTGGCACCAGAGACATCTCTGGCACCAGAGAGCCCTGCCAGGGTGCGAAGCAGAGGGTCTCCTCCACTTCTGAAGTATAAAGGAAGACAAGAGGAAGGGCTTATTCTCATTTTTACCCTATGGTACAACCATAACCTTTTTTTCTGTCAGCAAAAGTAGAAAATGGGAGCAATGGGGCCCACAAAAATAACCTTCAGGACTGTAACTGGCCAGGTGGCGATACATTGCCCAGCCCTGAAGCAAAAGGCTCAAGTTCATTCCTTGGAATGGTGATGTAAAGTTGGGAAAGACTCTTGCCCTAATCTTGAATCACCAATCTGATCTGTTAAACAAATGCCCATCCCATCCCACAGTCTCAAGGTGAGCTAGAACAATGAGAACAAAAATGGAATATTTAATTTCCTTTTTTTTTTTCAAAATGAGTACCACTTCATCCAAGTTTTATCCTGCGAGATGTCAGTGGGAAAGTACTGCTAATGAGGTACTATCAAGTAAAAATTAAATCTCATTCATTGTCATGGAATAAAATGAATCATGTCTCGGAGTCTGTCAAAATCCACAGAGATCATTTGTCTTCTCCTTTGACTGGATCCTTCCCTATATATGTACACATGCCAAGTAAGCACAAATTTGCTGAAAACACTGTATACCTACTTCTCTCATTAAGATGGCACTCAACATATGATGACTGGGTCATCTGTAAAATGTCCACTATGAATTCAGTGTTTGAGAGTTCCTTGTTATGACATGCATGCAGCACTCAAGGATAAACACCAAAATTCCCTTATATGTCAAAGCACAATTAAAGCTGTAGGGGTTTCCAACCCAAGCTATGAAGTTGGGAGTCATGTGAAATGATTCTTCATGACAAACATAGGACTTTTCCATGAGAGACAAGTACTACTGTTTCAGGAATCCACAGCGTCCTTATGCATATTTTCAACAAGAGTTCATATCACACCACTGTACGCACAGTGTCAATTATAGTGTGTGCGTGTTTGTTTTGGTGGGATGGTAGCAGTGGTTGTTTTAGAACCAGCTTTCAGAACAAGTAAGGGAATACAGATATATGAATCTCTTTCCTGTATGGGCAGCCCTGGTTCCCCTTTTCTCAAGTGAGTTTGAGTTACTTCTCTATGGGAGCCTTTGCACCCTATCAGTCCTTCTTCTTGATAGATGTTTAAATGCCAGTTGAAGATTTGGACCAGAATCCAACTGGTTGCCTTAACCAGAGCAAATCCATCAAATCTGTGAAGTTTACATTCAGCAACTGACTAAATGAGTCTGCTCTAGCTGAGACTGACATGCCACTGCTGTTCTTTTGCTTATATGTCTCATGGCACAGTGGTAAAACTGCAGTACTTCACTCAAACCTCTGCTCACAAGCCAGATTCAATCCCAGGTAGCTGGCTCAAGGTTGACTCTTCCATTCTTCTGAGGTTGGTAAACTGAGTACCCAGCTCACTGGGGGTGAGAGGGAGCAATGAGTAGCCTGCATAATTAAATTGTAAACCACCCAGAGAGTGCTTTAAAAGTGCTGTGGAGTGGTATATACACAGCATGCTTTGTCTTCAAGAAGATATTGCTCTGATCTTGCTGTTCTTTTACAGCCAATGTTACTATCAATTGATTATATCTTTAAATGGCAATGTTAATATTAATTTCTGTGTTTCACTATCGGGCTTGCTATTTTAATCAAAATTATTGATTACTTTAAAGGCTAAGTTAAGTGGTTGGTAGCAGCATGCTAAGCAGAGAAGCAAACAATATTTTACATGGATCCACCCCAAATTTCTGACTTCTGTGCACATAGCTGTTTGAAACCCTGGGTTTGTGCCCACTTACTGTTGTGGACCAGTTCTGGGCTTTGGCCCCAAACCCCATTTGGACACCAGAGAATTCCGAGAACTGGCCTGGCATCTCCAACTCTTACTGAAGCCACTGGATTCCCCAAGGAGTGTGGGAGAAGAGAGGTTAAATTCTATGTCTCTTCTGCACATTGCAGTGACCATGTCTAAAATT